AGGAGGAGGGGGAGGAGTCAGGGGAGGAGGAGGAGGAGGAGGAGGAGGAGGAGGAGGAGGAGGAGGAGGAGGAGGAGGAGGAGGAGGAGGAGGAGGAGGAGGAGAGTTAGGAAGAGGAAGAGGCCGAGGAGGAGGAGGAAGAGGAAGGAGGAGGAGGAGGATGAGGATAGCGAGGACGAGGAGGATGATGAGGAGGAGGATGAGGAGGATGAGGAGGAACACGAATAGGAGGAGAAGGAGGAGCAGGAGGAAAAGGATGATGAGGGGGGAGAAGAAGGATGATGATGATGATGATGATGATGATGATGATGATGATGATGATGATGATGATGATGCTGATGCTGATGATGATGATGATGATGATGATCATGATGATGATGCTGATGATGATGATGATGAAGCTGATGATGGCCATCATGGTGGTGAAGATGTTGATGATGCCGATGGCGATGATGATGATTATGAGGATGATGCTGAAGATGCTGATGATCTTGATGCTGGCAGAGATCTCCATGATGCTGCTGCTGCTGATGATGCTGCTGATGATGACGATGCTGCTGCTGCTGATTCTGTTGATACTGATGACGATGCTGAAGCTGATTATGATTATGATTATGATGCCGCTGCCGTTGATGCTGATGATGATGATGATGATGCTTATGCTTATGACGTTGGTGATGCTGATACAGATGCTGATGATGATGATGATCCTTATGCTGATGCTGATGATCATGATTATGCTGCTAATGCTGATGCTGATGCTGTTGATGCTGTTAATGCTGATGATGATGATGCTGATAATGACGGTGATGATGCTGATGCTGACGATGATGATGATGATGATGATGATGATGATGATGATGCTGATGATGATGATGATGATGATGATGATGAAGAAGCTGGCGATGATGATGATGATGCTGATGATGATGATGATGATGATGATTATGATGATGATGTTGTTGATGTTGATGATGATGATGCTGATGATGATGATGATGATGATGATGATGATGATGATGATGATGATGACACTGATGATGATGATGCTGATGATGATGATGATGATGATGATGATGACGATGATAGTGATGATGATGATGATGCTGATGCTGATACTGATGCTGCTGATGATGATGCTGATGATGATGCCGATGATGATGATGATGATGATGATGATGATGATGATGATGATGATGATGATGATGTTGATGGTGATGA